ATTTTTTGAAGTGCTTCAAAGATTGGAAAAACCGTTGGCGCAAGTGTATAATATCTCATGGGAATTTCTTTGAAGGGGACAAAATAGATATTCATGAATAAATAAATAATTTTTGAAAAAACACAAAATTCGCGATAATTTTTGAACGCAKCTCGTACTAAGAGTGCCTTCTATTTCAATCAATCTCAATTTACCGCCATCCCAAATTATTTTGTGTACTATTTTGATGTTTTCGTYGGCAAGCAACAACCTCTTTTGGGCGTCATTGCGTTCACCGTTTTCGGTGCTCATATCAGCACTCATGGTTAATTTTCCTGCGGTAGTCTTCGGAAACTCGTCATCAAGCCAAGTCTTTGCTTCAACTCTATTTTTTCTCTTCACAAAATAATACTTTACCAACAAGCGAAATTCATTTTTATGTATTCAATAACAAAAGTATCTTCACTTAGTTAGGGCTAACTGAAATACATATGAATCGGAGAGTTTTCAATTGACCTGTTATATAGGTGGTTCTGATTGACTATATGGTTTTTGTGATATTTGCATTTAAAGTTCGAAAATTCAACTGTTAGGTTGGCCTTTTTGTCTTTTGAATTTCGCGGCTATGTATAAAGCGCTACAGAACTCGAATCTGGCATTTTATACATCTTTGAAAGGTGAAATAAATTCGAGATGTATAGTATTGCCAGATACGATCTCTGTAGCACTTTCTACAAGTACATAGCCGCGAAATTCAAAAGAAAAAATATTGTTTTAGGTACGTGTTTTTTTTAACTTTTGTATCCATTAACAATTTACGCTTATTCTATATTAAATAGTGCAAAAGAAGTTTTAATTCAACTTTTATTTTCTTTTTTCACATAAAAATGGGTTTGCATTCTAACAAATATCGGCGTTACCTTATCCACAAATTTTTGGAAGGAACCAAAAAATAAAAATAMAGAAACCAAATTTTCGCGTAGAATTCTTTTCTACTTTGTTGATTTTAGCGTTGGCGGCTTTCGCAAAAATAAACCAGTTTTTTCACGAAGAGCTCCTTTTTGGGTTGACGACGCTGCAAAAAATAACMMTAGCCGGTCCAACACCGGGCTGTTTGTTTGCGTGAAAGTCTTTGTTATTGTATGTATAATTAGTYTAGCGCTAGTGGATATAAAATGAATTTTAAATGCAAATATCTCAAAAGCCATTAGTCAGCGACAAACATATTATTAATTCTTAACATCGAGAACATCCCGATCATACCCATTTCAACCTAGGATTTTTACTTAAAATATAATTGCAGAAGTTTAATATTGAAGTATGATTGGTTATTATATTTTTGTTATATATTTAACACCGTAAATTCTTTCGAGTAACCGCAACGATTCATTTATTTAATCATTGTTTAGTATCATCTACAAAAGGTAGCTTAACGTCAATTATTAATATATTATTATATTCAATAAAGTCT